GAAGCAAATCTGATTCAAAAACACTAATCTCCATTTTATCCCGACGTTATTGTTTAAAAATAGCCATGGTCAATAAATGAAATTAGACGTGTGCTTTCAACGGAACGCGTGGTCAGAAAAAATAACAATAACGAATAGATTTTATGCATAATTGAGAAGGTATAGCCGAGGAAGAAAACACATCCCAATTTTAATAGGCACGTTCCTTTCCCTCTTACTTCACCTTCAGTTGGAATATAAGGGAAAAATTGCAAGGGGATTCCTCTCCAGTTTAAGTCGCCTCACGTGGTGATTCTGCAGGAAAAAATGCCGCTGGGAAAAGAGACAAACAAAGAGCCCCAAAGAAGCATAAAAATAAATTAAATTGGAAATAGCGCAAGCATAAATTGAAGAGCGACAGAGAGAGAGAGAGAGAGAGAGAGAGAGAGAGAGAAAGAGCGGGCGGGTCAGTCGAATTAATACGTGACGGGGGGTGATTTCACTTCTTAGAAAGATTCAGATTCACATTAAATTTCAATTAGCAAAAACAACAAAAAAATAAGCGCACAGCTGAACCAATTCAAAATTTTTACGTTTTAATCTATATATAAATTCTACGAAGTTAACTTTTTTGAAGCGCATACTTTAAAAAAAAAATTAAGGTATATATTGATATTCATTTCAGTATTTTGGCCCAAACTCCCATCAAGAAAAACAGATTTTTTTTCTGGTACGAACGAAGTTTCTGACCAAAAGTAGATTTATCCGAGATATAGCCTGCTTCGATCAGAAATAAAATAAGCTACGAAGCACTTTTTAGAAAAACTTCGCTAACCATGCCATGTGCAGGCGGAACAATTATAGCAGTTTAACAAATTTTAGCGTTTAAGGTCAAAAAAATTGTGGTGATGGGTGGGACGAATAGCTTATTTGACAGAAAGAACGGAGTTTGAAGTATTCGAAGAGATGGGTGGAATACCTCATTTTTAGGTGCTTAAACTGTGGCATAAAAGTTTTGCACTTATGGGATTGATTGGTCATAGGTACCGATATGGTGCCATAAAGCGGCTGATTAAGTGTTATAGACATCTGGCAGAAGCATACGGAATCCCGTTCGTGAAAACCACATTTAGATTACGACAAGACATATCAGTCGACGGCCTACATCCCAGGACAGAGAGCATACGGCAGCTTGCGCTAGATTTTTGAAATGTATTCATAATATTGTAGACACGGGAAATTTTTGTTTTAAACGTTTTAAAAACTAATGGGAAGAAGTTTTGTTATATCAAAAAATAAAAGCGGCTTTCGGCTTTATTTTAAGCGATTATTGTGACATGAATTTTAGCACATAAGATCGCTTCAGATCTTTTGGCTATGCCGAAATCGAAACGCTTTAGGCATTGAAAGAAAAGAATGAAAAAACAAAACGGAAACAGCGAGTGATGATTACAAACAATCTCCAGGCGGCTTCAGGTTGCAACAAGATTCTCTCAAAAATAACGAGTATTTTAACAATGAGAGGCAAAACGAAACATGAAAGCACATTTGCACACCTTCGAATCCAAGAATGACTTAATTGAAATGTCTATAGGAAAATTTGGTCAAAAAGATAGATTCAAAATTTTATATTTCTGTTCTGAAATGAAATTTTTAGAAGGCAAGAGAAAAATTTTGTCCTGAGATGGGTTTATTTTGTCCCTCTGACATTTTTGAGGCCAAAGTTTGCGTACTTGAAGAAGTTGCAAAATATATATATATATGAACGCGAGGAAACAAAAATTGTTCAAAAATGAAAAAAAAATCGACTTGTTTGACGTTTTCGCAGATATAGTTGTATGGTTTCGATTATTTAGAATAGAAACAGATTTTGAACAAACAAATTACATAATAACAGGAATATTCAGTTTTGTTGTTTTTTTAAATCTTTTTCTAACTTGTGTTTTTGAATAAATACTGGTCATAGTGTCTGTCAAAACAATCTCAGATTTTTTGCTTGTTCCTATAAGATAAAGTTTAAGAATCAGAAACAAAAATGGGATCAATTTTAAAGTTGCGAATCTATTCTAAAATGGCAAAACAATTCTAAAATTAAAATTTGCAAACATAAAATCTAATCGCAAAAACTTGGGCTGAACAGAAAAAAAATCACTCTCAAGTCATCCATCACATATTTATTGATTAAGACACAGTCGATCAATCATTCCGAGAGACGCCTGTTCCTTTCTCTGTCCTGTTGAGAACAGAGGTTATTCTACTGAAGTATTTTGGTTTACTACAAACTAAATTGAATATTGATCCCCTGGTAAAGACGATAAAAGCTGAATTTGCCCTTTTTAATGAGTTTGACAAGAATTCAGCTACCATTGGACAATAAGAGCTGACGCAAACAGAAACTTAGGTTTAAAAGAATTCGATGCAACTCAATAGATGCAAGCAAAAACGTTGAACACAAAATTGTCCGATTTTTACTGCCTGTCACACAGGCAAAGCTGCACGTCCCAAATACTATCAAAAAATGTCAAACGAGAACTTTTTTTAATAAAAAAAAACCTCAAAATTTGAGTCTAACGTCTTGCCAACAGCACTAAACCATCTTGTGGCATTTCCAATACTCGCCACCAATAAATTAGATGCAACAGGTGCTTTAAATATAACACGTGCCTTGTAAAGCAATAATTTATGCGAGTTAGGTTGCAAAAAACTTAACTCGTAATGTAAACACAGACATTTGCTTGTCCCACTGTCTGTCTGCGGCTTTTTTTCGATTCAATCCATTAAAAATAAATGTTTACCTTTAAAGCTTGAATAATGCCCAAATAGTTCCTAGCTAAAAAAATTAATCAGTTGTTATGCAACAAGCGCATAATGTTACAAAAACAATATTTGGCAGCCAAATTTCAAAATTACACAATAATAGCCGTTTACTATAGCACAGAAAGCTCCGACCACAATGACTGGAGCAAAAAAAAATCAAAAAACTAACATACTAATTTTTTCAGAACTATTTAAAAATTTTTAAATAGTTTTTCTTTTTCTGAGAATTCAATTATAACTGACTCTCATCATGTCATTTATAAATTCGCACCATTTAGTCTGAAAAGCGGAAAATTTCAGACCAATTCTTTCCACGAAACAGACATTTTTTGAATTTTTTTGGGAATCCGAGTTACGAATAATAGAGCTTCAATATAATACCAGACGTAATTCCCTGTGAGCTTTCCATAAGGAATCTTAATTTGGGCGGAAAAAACGGCACCTTCTCTATCGATATTTCCAGTCAGTTAAGTGACGTGATTGTAACAAAAACAAAGAAAACCAAGAATAGCCGGTTACTGTGCAAGTAGCACAGAAAGTTCCGACCACAGTCTGTAGAAAAACTACGGTTTAGAAAGTTTTTTTTTTCAAATTAGTGTACTTTCTTCTGCTTGGTGTGATAAAAGGATCTGACGTTAAAATATAATTTAGGCACATAAGACAGTCATAGTAGTATAGACAATGTGGACAAAAAATTTTTGTAGAAAAATGACTAGAAAAACTAAAAAATATATATATAAAAAATGCCTAAAAAAATGAAGCTAAAAACTCCAAAAATTAGTTTTATTTGCTCAAAATTAGGTTTTAAGGTCTTAAATTAGGCATAATTCAGCTGTTATAAGCCTGCTCGCTTGTTTTATTCGCTCGAATTAAGACGAAAATCAAAAATTTCAAACCGACTTTTCTCGCAAATTTTTTAATGTGATTCCAATAACGACTGAAAGGGCTTTAATATTATAAATCACTCAACCCAGTCCGATGATTTTTTGTGGTACCTGATTTTGCGTGGAAAACAAAAACAAAAAAAACTTAAACACACCCGAATACAAAATTCCTCCCCATTTTCAATGGTCGGAATAAAAAATTCTGCTTTTTCCTGGTATTTTGAAGGAGTTTTAATAAACATGATTTAAATTCGGTTGGCTAAAAGAAACTAGAAACAATTGTAGCGTAACATTTGGAGAGATCAAAGACTCCTCTATCGGGCCGTGAGTTTTAAATGAGATGCTAAACATTGAGCCTGAACGGCAAAAAATCTTGTTTTTCTCGACATTTTTGAAGAAATTTTAAGTCCTAGTTAAATTTGCTCCATAATGATACCAACGAGCGTTCTTTGAAAGCCGAAAACAAAAAATCAATTCAGTGATTAAAATCGAGAATACATGGCGTGAATAATAATTATTCAAATGCTATTGCCATGCTTCCATAATACATCTTGAACCATTTAAACTATCAAATGAAATCAAGCAATTTATATCCTAGCAAAGGTAGTCTATGGCTGTGCACAGTAATTATTCCAGTAGTTATTGCAAAAAAAATCAGTTTCTCAAATTTTTGTGCTGTTTTCTTAGCTGAATCATGAACTCAAATTGGAATCCATATTACACAGAAAAAACGTAAGGGTAGTCGTACATTCCTACTAAAAAAAAACAAATTAGACGTAAGTGATTTTATAAATATCCGATCTCCATAAAATTAGTCTGAAAAACGGAAAAATTCAAACCTATTTTTCCCGACGACGAAACATTGGAATTTCATTATATATAGGAAACATTATTGAAAACTTCTATCTTTAATGCAAATCACTGCCAAAAGTCATTCAATATAGTATATCACTTGACTCCATCTGATGTTTATTTGCGGTATTTAATTTGCCTGAAATAAAAACACCCCGACACAAAAAACATGACATTTAAAATTTTGCTGTCATAAAAAAAATTTTCCATCAATAAACCTCGACCGCTTCGAAAGCTTTTAATCTATCGTCTGCAACAGAAAAAAATTCCAGAAAATATAGTTCATTTATGAATCACTTATACCTAAACAATTAAACAAGCGTTAAATGACTCTCACTATATTTAAGTTCCAGACAACGAAAGTCGGCACAATTGTGACTTAATGAAAAACTCAATCATTCGACCAATAATCAAACAGAAATAAAAACCCTAAATAAACAAGTGCCTGCATCTATAAATTTTACTCACGAGGCTTTCATTGATACTGTTTGAATCTCCCATGGGATATGGCGTGTAGACAGCTAAGGCACAGCAGTTGGCAAAGATAGCTATGAGGATGAAGTACTCAAAAGGCCTAAAACAAGTACAAATAAACAGGTTGTCTTGAACCCATAAATATGACAGAGGTTTTCTGTAGATATGTTTGATTTATTTCCGATCCCATTTTTCAATTATTGTTCCGACTTTCGAAGAAAACGGAATATTTATGCTCGGTGTGGTTTTTTTATTCAGTCAACTTTCACCGATTGAAACAATGATTTTCAACAAAAATTATTTTTCCCCACTGAAGATATCGACTTTCTGATTTCAAATGTAAAAAGATATTTCACCTACGATTATCTTTTGTTAACTTCTGGGGGTTTGAAAATTGCCAAATTTTCCATGTTCTGGACTAAACTATGCGCGCTTTAAAGAGTTAATTCATTTGGCTGAGAGCATAACGCGAATTACTTATGCGTGGCAAATTATCCTGCACAACAAAATCCTTCCAAATTGAAATTAGGCTGGCTAATTGGTCGTATTAATTTCGTACGACTCAAAATATTGCACTTAGATATTGTCCAAAATGTATAGGTTTTCAATATTTTCTTTTCCACAGAAACTATTCGTTATTAATTAAGGGACAGTCGGAACATTCAGGGCTTTGGCCTGATATTCGAGCAGTGTTGTTACTATTTGAACAAAACTTGCGGTAAAGAAGAGAGATATTATTGAACACAGTCCAGATCGAGGCTATATAAAACTTAGAAAAAACTACTGTTAGAACAAACTACTGATAACGAATGCGCCATTTTATATTACAATTAGTAGTAATTATGTGCCGAGATTGTAGAGCTAGCCGAAGGTACCATAAATTATCATCTTTTGTCAGCACAAAGTTTGGCGCCCTATTAAGTATCCGTGATCAACAAATGTTCATTTTCCTATTTCACTAAACTAATACCGAGATCAATCTGAAACAATCTAGTCACCAAAAAAATGAGAAACATTCAAGCATTCATTCCAATATCTTTTAAAATTGTGTTTTCAGCTCAGAAACGAATTTGGATTGAATTTCCCGGACTGCAAATTAACGAGACTAACTGATGGCTGAAGCTTACTCTACATCGACGGCATTGAAAAATAGATTGAGAATGTCGATCCTTTCAATGGAACTTTCACGCGCACGAATCGTTGATTAAAAAAATTAATTAAAAAAGGAGTGTACGATAGAACAATTCTACAAAATCTAAAAATTTCTTTGAAAATGGGTATAATTTTTGAAGATGCTCCGTTTCTACTGATAACTTACTTGAGCTCCACCACTTTAATGCATATTCTGCGAACAGGGTTACTGAGCTGTAAACAAAATAAAGCCCGTCTTGGTCTAGAAGCAGCCTGTTGCTTAACGGGCCTTCTTTTGTTAATTGTGTTGACTGTTTTTGTCGCAGCAAGGGTGGATGCCCATGCATTACTGACATTGCTGTTCGCTCCTCCAGCAGCACCATTAGCTGCTGGTCCTCCTCCCTCTGTACCTATTATAACGCAATCCATCAATTATTTTCCCAAATAAGCCAAGCAATAGTCCGAAACATGGATACGGATTAGGATAAATAGGAAAAGCCCAGTGCTACTTAAACACCGAAGGAAAATTCAACAATTGTGAAATTTGTCAACTATGAAATTTACGGACAGCTTGGCGTGTATTAAAGTAATAGAGCAATTTTTGTCAAGGCTTTTGGAAAGTTTTACTATAAGCCCATGCACCGTAGCGATATAAACTAAACGACTTTATTAACGATAGTTGGCAGGTACCAAAAAGTAAAAGTTGATGACTGCGACATATCTCTAACATACCTCTTTTAAGATCTAAAATAGTAAGTGACTAAGTGAAAAGTTCAACACCGTGCCTAAATGCGCATATTAATAAGAAACAGCAAAACTAACCCAATGCAGCAAGTGCCACCTGTTCCATATCATAACTCGTTCATTGTAACATCTGAAGGTGTGTAATACATAATGATTTTTAAAAACTAATGCAAAGAAAAGCTGCTGCACATACTACACGTTTCCGAAGCTAAACATTACCGCAGATATAACAAGTGTTTTTTTGGTAATATTCTTCCCTATGCAAAATTTCCAATATTTCGCAAGCCAATTCCGTTTCCAACATTTTTGCGGCGACCATTTGGGACATGCCCGCAAAGACTTATCATTTTCGAAATTTTGTTTCCTATAATTTTGTTATATATGTCATAAAAAAAAACAAAGAAATCGTTTGAAATAAATTTGACTTCTGCCGGTTGACTTTTGACGAAGAAAAATTTGTACAAAGTTCAAGAAACCAAATCGAAGCTAAAAAACCAAATAAGAACAAAGCGATGTTCAACAGACGCAAAAGCGATGAAGATAAAACGTAACGAATCGAGCTCAGTGCCTTCAAAGAAACAAGATCAGATGAACAGTTTCGAGACTCACAAATCCCAAAAGAACATGAAGTTCTGATTGACTCAAATCCTGGAGGTAGCCAAAAAAATCGATTTCAAATCAGCAGTGGGGAGCAATCTGTAACAAAGAGAGGAAGTTAAGAATATCCAGGTAATTGAACTAATTCCGCCATTCACAAAAGAAGATTTAAGTACTATTGATGAAATGGAAAAGACCTACAAAACTTGTGCTTCTAAAATACTCAAGCAATTTCCAATTAATATGAGATGAAAAATCACGATTTTCAAAACATATACAATCAAGTGAGACAAATAAACTTCAAAATTTGTCGTTTGTCGCTCGCCCAGAATGAAACCAGTTTATCTCAAGCATAAAGAGTCATGGGCTGCTACAGTTGGGCGAAATTGTATTTTTAATGGAATTTTTAACAAAAAGACCGAGTTCTACCCCAAACAGTCCAGGGTCAAAATCATTAGCCTGCCATTTGTTTGTAAGGACTTGGACGCGCAACAAATCTTCTCGAACTGTCAAGTGTAACTAATCACAGCACCGTAATAACACAAGAAAAAAAGCATAATCAATGATTCTGCTGAAAAAATTACAAGGGCGAGCTGTACTGGAAGTTACTTTCCAAATTGAAATTCAGGAAAACCTTTTTCGACACTGGTCATACATTTCGCGAATGCAATCCTCGAGCCATTCCCCCGAATTGGCACAGTCGAACCCACCGATGCAAACGGAAAAAGACGGTAGAGACTTTAACAGGGAATTCGCAATGAAAAGAAGGGTCGGAATTTTCTAGAATTTAAAGCTTCGATTGGAGATAGGATGTTTCTCAATAAAATAAAAACGACCATTTTGTCCGAATAAAAACAGGAAAAGCAGACAAACCGAATTAACAAGATGAAAATCAGTCTAAAAAAAACAGGAGAAATACGAAGCCTCTTATCGTGGTAGCAAGACACGATGAGACGCTTATCTTAGAGAAATCATACGGAAGGAAGACCCAGTGGGACATCCAAGCAGATCCGTACCCTCCCGTGCCACGAAATCGGGGAGATGACGACGTTATCCCCGGGGGAACACGGAATTGGAGGCACGGTGCCCATACTTTATTAGAAACTACTACAGACTTGTAACATTCGTCCGGAAGTACATATCGACGGAAAAGAAAGCTAGGTTCTAAGACGACTCTCCAACGTCTAAACAGAGCTCTACATGCTTTTCACCGTCTCTACCAAAGCCAGTTCTTTTGGTGGTCTTTCCAACATCGGGTCGACAAAAACGTTACTGTTCTCCGGCTTCGACCAGAACGCTCAAATTAACTTAATTGCATGCAAAACTAGTGAGCTCATGGCTGGATCTCAGTATCTCCAGACCACGAGGTCACTCCTAAAAACAGGGCTACTACTACTTATTATATTACTATTGTTTTTGTTCAGTAGATAAAAATCATCATCTCCTTCGAAGATGGATCAACCTTTCCCCCAACTCCTAGCTTCTCATCGTCGTAAAAGGAATTCAGATGTTAAATAAATTCAATTCAAGACATAACCGGGAAGCTAAAAGTTTGTATAAAATGATATTAGTCCAAGTCCCGAGACCCCTCCGGATTCTTGAATCCGGGTAAATAACAACCTTGTCTTCTTTCCGGAAGGCTGCTTTTCCACCATTCACCGTTGTTGTGAACGGCCTTGCAACGATTGTAGCGGCAGAATCGTTGCAAATCGCAACGGTCTCTGCTAACTCTGCAATTCGTTGTTGTTTTTTCTATCACAATCCTCGTAGTTATCGCTATCACAGCTATTGTTGTTCATATTTTTTCTGGTTTTCCTCCAAAATGGCCGATTCTGACGTTTCTCAGAAATATGACGTCATACTTCGAAATTTTAAAAAGTGAAATACCAGAATATTCCAGCCTTCACAGTTTGACTAATCGTTCCAATAACACTGTTAATCCTTCAAAAATGCTAATTCGGAAGGTTAACTGCTAATAATTCGAAATTGCTGAATCTGCATTTTCGTCCATTCTGGTCGAATGTCACATACTACCCGGACAGCCCGGTCAATGTCCCCATTGAATCTCGCAATGTTCGTAAAATTGGTACAGTGCCATCGAACAGAAATTACAAAATCCACCAAATTACTTTTATCGACTCACTGCAGCATATAAATGGCATCATAATACACTACTATAGCCTTCTAAATTTTTTCACTAATCTGCACTTTGAGGATATGACTTAAGATAAAACATTTTTTTCTGACTTCCAATGACAATGCCCTGATTTAAAACTTCTTCTCCTAGGTTTTAAAAGGTGTTAGTTTGCAGGACAGTCCTGCCAACCATCAAGCTAAAATTATCCTACTATGCTTCTTCCCTTCGGAAATATTAGTTGTTATTGTTCTGAATATTAAAACCAAGGAACTCTGTGGTTAGAAAGAACAATGAAACAATCTCCTTCTTCAAGAGATTACCCAAGCCTTTCATGTCATCACAAAGTGATCAGTTTTCCTGGTTGATTAAAAACAGTCAAGCAGGCTGGAATATTTAAATATACTCTTTACTCAAGCCTTTCTAAATAAATAGTAAGTGTCTCTAAAGCCACTAACTAAAATCAAATTGCAAATTTATAAATGCAACAAACTCTTTAATGCTCAAAACTCAACTAAATGTTTCAGTTTTCAATTACAACTTGGTTGCTTAGTTTCTCACTTGAGTTTTTGTCACACACATAAAACAATTCTGAGTTTTAACTTCTTCTCTTTTGTCACTTCTTTGTTTCTTCTTTTTTCGTCGTTTAGAAGTTCTAAAATTTTTAAATTCTTCTAACATCGTTTTTTTTGCATCTTGTCTTCCGGCCATTTTTCAATGCTCCATCTCCTCCTCCTGCGACATTGACTCTGCACTTTCAGTTTCTGTGTCTTGCAACACATAGTTAGCTATTCTGACGCTGTTGGAAGCAGTCCTCCAACACTTCTGCTCTTTTACCCTTTGTTTACAACAAGGTAGGGGATCTACATTAGATTCTCTGTTTCTGCAGAAGCGTTTGTGAAGGCATAACGTCACGTTTCTCTCCAAATCTTCCTTCAACATCTCTTCTTTCTCCCTTCCATCACGTTCACTTGTCCTGGAAGTTCTCTTCACAGCGGTGGTCACTGCATTCCGATGAGTTACGAAAGCTCGCTTGAAAGCTCCTGCCCCAATGTCCAGCTGATACACACTGTACACTCTGCCGTGCTTCGACATATGCTTCTTGGCATACTCATACAACCATGCGGTCATGTTGGCTCTAAACCATAGCATCAGTCGTCTCCTTGCCCATATCTTCTGCACTTCCATCGGAATGTTCACAATCTTGCAAGTTGTCCCAAAAAGATCTAAATCTTTTAGACAATCCAATTTCTGCAATTGTTCCAGCGTTGGTGCCTCTTGTCTATTGTTCTCCTTCACATGAGCTTCCAGCCATCGTATCGCCATCATAACTCCCACTATCACTACTGTTATGGGCCATGATGAGTCTGGTAAACCCCATAGAGAGCAGCTCTTCAGAGTCCCAGATCAGCACCAGACTACTACGCCCGGGATACCACCATGTTTGCAGCAAGCAATGGCAGGGAAACTCATCATGTGTTAACATGATGCTCCTCCAGTTACGCTTTCCCGAAGCTTCCAGTAGTGGTTTCACTTCCATCATCGCTCGGCGGACTTCATCATTTTCATCTACTGTATTGTAATCCGTAACGGTTGATCCTCTCTGTGTTTGTCTTTCAAAATCGCTGAAGTTTCCACTGACGTAGCCCATGAACTTCTTTCCCAGTATCAATTCCAACTGGAGCTGCTGAGAATATTTTGCACAAAAACTCATAAGATCTTTCTGACAATCTCGCTAATCTCACACACTTTGGCACTGAGAAGGCTTGATCCACGATCGTTCTCGTACTTTTTACATCCACAGCTACGAAATGCACTGGGTATATGCTCTTGCACATTGGAGCTAATGTCGATCCCACCAAATATCACGTTCCCGATGGTCTGCGATACGTTTCACTGTGCCTGATGTTCATTTCCGCCTCGATCGCTTCCCTCCATTTTCCTATGTGCTTTTGCTCAGTTTGCGAAACTGCCGGGAACACTTCTACATGATGGCCGTGACCATCTTATGTTTCTGTTCTAGATTCAGTAGTGACTCTAAAGAACCAAACATACTGTAGAATCCCAGTGCAGTCACTAGATTCACCTCGGTTCCTCCATGGCAATCTGCGATCAATTCCGTTTCCGTCTTCGCTTTCATCACAATGTTCCCAAACAATATTGTCAACTGTTTGTGTTGTTTCTACAGGGTTTTTACGCAATCTAGACTTCCACAAACGTGATCATCCAGTCCACAGACTTCTGCCAGACAGCTACCAGGTTTAACCCAGTCTTCTGGTCCCTAGCCAGGCAACTCCACTTTGTCTTCCCCGTTGCTCTTAGAGGCTGTTGTCATCACATTGTATATGATATTAAGATCACGCAGGTTACAGTCCGCATTTAGTTCCCTCTGCACATATTGTGTTGCAAGTATTATTGAATACAGCATTGGGACTATTGAGTACAGCATTGGGACTAGGACACCATGATGGTCTCATCAGTTCCCACACTACCATCAAGCTAGTTCTTAGTAATTCATC